TCAGCCGTAATCTTAATCATAACATTTTCCGAGGCTTACTGTTCGGACATGTCCCTGAATGTCCTGTATGTTTTTAGATACACACCACATAATCAACATTCACACACATTATTTTCTCCATGTTTTGACTACTGCTCTGGTCAGCTGCCAAGCTGGCATATCAGGTGACGTCACGGTTTGACGTTGCCTGCGTAGGATGGGGCTAGCCCAACGAAGTGATTAAATTGTATAGGCTATTAGGTTCAGGGTTTTTTTTTCTTCTTCCGGGTTGCCTGCGAGCAGCTCTGGGGGTGGAAGATGCCTGGACATGTAATGTTAATTCTTGCCTGTGACCCTTTGAATAAACCAGCACGGTTATATTTTTTATATACTCAAGTGGTCCACTTCGTCTCTCTGAGTTCCTGGTTGAAAGAACCGAACGTGGCTTTATAATAGAATAGAGACCTTAATAGGATGGAACTCCTGCGGGAGCTCTATCTCTCTGATCCCAGCACTGTAAGGCCTACCTGTGATCAGACATTCAGTAAACTTTCTGCTGATTTTAAACAGTCCTCTCCTGTCGTCACTTCTCGTGCTTCCAACAAAAGAATTGGGTTAATTTCTAACAAACGCTGGGGTCAGACAGACAGAGCTCACGCAGGAAATCCGTTCTCTGAACCCTGAGTTACACGTTTTCATTGAATTTATCTTCTTGGGCTAGGCCCACCTTGGACAGAGGTACAACATTCAACACTTCATAATCCTATTGGCCATTTGGCATGAGCAGGTCAACCCCTGCCTGAGTCTGCTTGCTGAAATGTGATCTAAACCAGGTGTGTGTGTGTGTGTGTGTGTGTGTGTGTGTGTTTCTCAGGCAGCAGCTTGATCAATGGACACTAAACAATGGGTGGTCTGGGCTGCAGGCCCCCCTGTGTGTGTGTGATGCTAGTAAGTATGCTAAATGGGCCAGGTGGTTATCTCAGGTTGTAGGCCCCCTGTCTTTGCAGGACACCCCATGACAAAGCAGAACTTGGAATATGCTAAGCGGGTCTAGGTGAAGGTGCAAAACAGGCCAACAGGTCTTTGTTAAAATGTAAAATAGGCTGTCTGGTTACTTGAAGGTACAGACATCCTGTCTCTACAGAATTTGCAGCATGCAGTTCCAAAGTTTCACTCAGTACAGTACAGCAGTCATCAATAGAGTTTCAATATGTATAAGCAAGGAAAATAAAGGTATGAAAAGTAACTAAAAGAAAATGAAAAACTGAAAAGTAACTAAAGGAAACTAAAATGATGAAAAATAACTAAAGCTTCTTAAGTAACTAAAGCCTATAAGAATCAAATCTTACACCTTATAGACTTCCTGTCCACAAACCAAACCACCCATTTAAGTTTCATTTATTTTCTTGACATGTTAAATGCTCGTACTGTTTTTATGCATGTGTTGTTTCCAGTCATACAGATCTGTCTCAACAGAGAGAACTGTGTAACACTATCGGCCTTGTGCCAAACATGTGGGCTTACAGTATAAAGTCTCCAGCTGAATTATACTTTAGGTCTCCCTGCATAGTTATTAATGTAGTAAGTATTTTATTCCTATTACTCTTAAGGGAACAAAGATTTCTTTAACAACTGTTATATTGTAAGGTGGCTGGAATAAAGACTTGATATACAGAAATTTTGAAACATTTTCTGTGATGCTCACACAGCCCCCTGTCCTTCACCACCTTGCAAAGAGATGAAATCTGACCTTGTTCTTCCCTCTCCCATTTCTCTTGATGTATTCAGGCCACAGTTGTTGGTGCTTCTGAACGTGGACGCTGATCAGGCAATCAAACACCCTCGCCTGCTGTCCTTCTGCACTCAGCTGAAGGCAGGAAGAGGCTTGACCATAGTGGGAAATGTTTTAGAGGGAACCTATCTCACAAAAGAGGCAGAGGCCAAGAGAGCTGAACAGGTATGGTGAAGTAAACGTGTACAAATGGAAAATGTAAATACAGGCACAAGTATATTGTCATTTGTTATATATTTTGCCTGTAACTCTACCCTTGTCCTGCAAGACCCTGTTCTACCAAAAGTGGGAATTTGTGATCACAGTTGTTCATAAAAAACAGTTTATGGAAGGAAGGAAGTCACTTTCGGCTTTTCCCGTTTAGGGGTCGCCACAGGAAATTGTTGCACTGACGACTACTTAGAGTATGGCGTTGAAGACTGGGGAAATACATACATAAGCTCACTTCAACCATTGTATATATTACAAAAAAGAGCGATAAGAATTGTGCATAAGATGGGGTACAGGGATCACACCATTGGAGCTTTCATACAGTCTAAATTGCTAAAATTTTTCGATTTAGTGGGATATAAGACTGCTGTGTTTATGTATAAAGCCAGGAACAATTTATTACCTGGTGGAATTCAAAAACTATTTAATGAAAGGGAAGGGGGATACAATTTAAGGGGTCAGTTAAATT